TTTTCAGCTTAATTTATCAAAATCAATATATGTTCTCCAACTTCATCCATTTTTCTGCAAATGACATCACTTCATTTTTCTTTTTTTTTCTCTTGTGTGGGTACTGGGACTTTTTTGTGTGTTCTGGTCCTGGGGCTTGAAAGCAAGGCCTGGGTGCTGTCCCTGGGCTTTTTTTTGGGGGGGTCCAGTTGTGGGGCCTGAACTCTGGGCCTGGACGCTGTCCCTTAACTCTTCAGCTCAAGGCTAGCGCTCTACCACTTGAGCCACAGCGCCACTTCCAGCATTTTTCTTTTTGCTTATGTGGTGCTGAGGAATCGAACCCAGGGCCTCAAGCATGCAAGGCAAGCGCTCTACCACTGAGCCACCTTCCCAGCCCTCCCTGGACTTTTTTGCTCAAGGCTAGCACTCTACCACTTTAGCCAAAGCTCCACTTCTGGCTTTTTTGGTAGTTAATTAGAGATAAGGGTCTCATGGACTTTTTGCCTGGAATGGCTTCAAACTGATCCTCAGATCTTAGCTTCCTGAGTAGCTGGGATTACAGGCATGAGCCACCAGTGGCCAGCTCTGGTGGTATCTCTTACTGAATATGACAGTGCTCATGTCTACATTACCCATAGGGTAAAAACAGGAAAGATGATGCTGTCATTTTAATAGTGCTTTTATTTTGGTCAACCTGCTACTAATCAGAATCATCAAATATTTTTTTCAGTGTATTAGGTCCAAATTTTATGGTGGACTAAATATGTGTAGCATGTCCATCCTTGGGTTCCTTGCTTAAAATGTTTTCTTTTTAAGCCTAGCTTCCAGGAATGCCCCCTCTATCTTCATTGCTTAATATTCAGCTGAAGTTTGGTCTAACACTGAAATCTCTCTGCTAGTTTTGAATTCTTTCTGCTAGTTTTGTTTGGGTTCTGATGCCCACACAAAACTATACTTCAGAAAATAATATGGAGGATGGATAGCTTTATAGTACATTGCAAACATATGTGATAACATCATAAAGAACCTCAGTAAAAGCTATTGATCAAAAAGAGGACAGTAGGTCTGGGAATGTGGCTTAGTGGTAGAATGCTTGCTTGGCACTCATGAAGCCCCAGGTTCAATTCCTCAGTGCCTCACAAACAGAAAAAGCTGAAAGTGGCACTGTGACTCAAGTGGTAGAGTGCTAGCCTTTAGCAAAAGAAGCTCAGGGACAGTGCCCAGACCCCAAGTGAAAATCCCAGACTGGCAAAAAAGGGGGAGGTGATTTTGGACAGAGATAGAGAAATAGACTTTGTTGGGGGTACTATTAGGAAGGGCCTGGGATAACAAGAATGAAGAAAATTGAATCCTGTGTAAATAGATTATTTGCAACAATGATAATAGAACAATCAAACCTGCTAAAATTTACATGGGAAAGCAGGAGATGAGGAAGGTAATGGAGGTAAGATTGATTAGAATATATTGTAAGGGGAGGGGAAGATGGGAGGACAAGGATGGTAAGGGTAAACAAAGGAGGAGGCAACAATGCTTGTTAAGAAATGTACTCATTACCTTGCTCATGTAATTGTAACCCCTCTGTATGGTACTTTCACAATTAAAAATACTTAAAAATACTTAAAAAAAAGAATATATTGTAAACGTGTGGGAAGGTAACAATGAAATCCCCCCCACCTGTAAAATTAATGTAAGATAATTTAAAAAATAAAAATAAAAGCTATGCAGGTCACAGTGGTTTACGCTCTGATCCTAGCTACTCTGGAGGCCAAGATTGGAGGATCATGGTTCAGAATATTCCTAAGATACTCTAGACACATAAAACTGCAGGCACTAACATAAATTTACTTCTAGCTCTCTTCTTAATCCCACCTGATGCCATTATCCCAGGCCAAGAATCCAATCTGTAAAGGCGTCAGCTCTCAAGTCTTCCTCAACTTTGCTGTGCAATTTGTTCCTTCATTGAAGTTGCCAGAGAGGTAGACGTACACAGATGGATAACAAGAAAAATTGATACTTTTATTATAAAATAACATATATGCTCTCGTGTGTGTGTGTGTGTGTGTGTGTGTGTGTGTGTGTGTGTGTGTGTGTGTGTGTGTGTGTGTGTGTGTGTGTACAGGCACCAGTACTGGGGCCTGAACTGTGGGGATACATGATACAGGCACACATGCACACATCAATCCTGGGGCTTGAACTCAGGGCCTAGGCACAGTGTGGGCTTTTTTGCTCAAGGCTAGCTTTCTATCACTTGAGCCACAGCTCCATTTTAGAAACCATTATTATTAGAAACCATCCATATATATGAATGTTCCAGTTCATTCATTATACTTGTTAATCAGTTTTCACTAATATGTTTGCATTTAATATTTTAATCTTTTTAAATCTAAGTTTTCAGTAGTTAAGGGTTCATAGATATAAATGCCATCATTGAACTTACTGTGATCCTCCTTATTTAACAATTTCCTCATCCATTTCCCAGATTATTATATAGACTTGCCAAAGTACAATGGAAATCTTGTCAATACTAAGTTACCAATAACAGTCAGGATGCCTAGACTCTAGCTCCCATATCTAACCCTGTGTGTTTACTTTCTCATTCTTAGTCTCCCTGTCTATAAAATAATGTGTTCATTGTTGTGTATGTCTGTATAAAACCCTTGTTATAAGTTTCAAAGATGACACACAGTACTTTGAATATTGTTGATATAAAGGCTTCTTGTATTTTGTATTTTCTATATTTTCTCATGATTACAAAAAGAAGACCACATAATTATATGCTTATTTAATTAAATCCTTGGAAATGTTAGTGATTAATGTTCACAAATGTACTTCCTAAAATTAATTTTTGACCACTCTTTAAGTTCTTGGCTTACAAAAATGGTCTTGGGCTGGGAATGTGGCTTAGTAATAGAGTGCTCACCTAGTGTGCATGAAGCCCTGGGTTTAACTCCTCAGTACCATATAAACAGAAAAGGCCAGAAGTGGTGCTATGGCTGAAGTGGTAGAGTGCTAGCTTTGAGCAAAAGCACCTCAAAGACTGTCCCTAGACCCTGAGTTTGAAGCCCCAGTACTGGCACACAAAAAGATTTTATAAACACAAATAATAGTACTAAGTTATAAAGACTAGTGTAATGTTCAAATTAGGATAATTTTTTAATTTATTTTTATTTATTTATTGGTCCTTTCGTGGGACCTGAACTCTGGGCCTGGGCGCTGTCCCTCAGCTCTTCAGCTCAAGGCTAGCTCGCTACCACTTGAGCCACAGCGCCACTTCTGGCTTTTTTCTTTTTGCTTATGTGGTGCTGAGGAATCGAACCCAGGGCCTCAGGCATGCAAGGCAAGCGCTCTACCACTGAGCCACCTTCCCAGCCCCCAAATTAGGATAATTTATACTGATTGAGTCATCAGTAAAACTGATTTCATTTGTTTGAATATCTTATGCTTTAGGATATCCTATGCCGAGGCTTATTAAACCATCTGTGTTGTCTTTTCCACTATTCCAGATAAACATTCTTTTTATTCATTTTTAATTTGGACATTTTGGGGTAGTTTCATTTTGTTAGTGGTACTGGAGTTTAAACTCAAGCACCTTATACTTGTTGAGCAGTCACTTTACCACTTGAGCCATTCCAGTAGCCCAATTTTGGGGAGCTTTTTGAGGCAGGCTTGCTATGTACCCTTTTTATCCTCTTGCCTCAGCCTCCCAAATGCTGTGATTGAAGTCTTGTATTTCTTTGCCCATGTCTTTCTAAATTTTAACCATATATCAGAAATATGAGTACAATTTGAAAGGTGATTAAAGCTTTTAGAAACTTGTTGAAAATCACTAGCATTCCATTGCTATCCTGATGGAAATTGCTCGCAATATCTTGAACCATGTCAATTTACTTTTTCTGGACCTGGTTTCCCCACTATGAAGTAAGTAGCTTTGATTGCAATTTTCAGATTCTTTTCTTTTTTGGTTTTCTTTTTTTGTATTTTGTTTTGGAAATACTGAGGCTTGAACCCAGAACCTCACAGTTGGTAGGCAAGTGCTTTACCACTTAAGGTAATACCCCCAGCCCAGTTCTTTCCATTTTTAACATTCTATGATTCTTTTTCTCTCTCTTTTTGTGGTGCTAGTGATCAAACCCCTACCCTTGTGCTAGGCAAATACTGTATTACTGAGGTACATCCCTAGCCTTATGATTCTGTAAAAAAAAATAATTAAGTATTTACCTGAAGAAGCTTATGAAAAGACTAAGGTTTATATTAATTTTTCATGATTCGGCACACTTGAATTACCCCTAAGATAATTTGTTAAAATATGAATCAGGTGTTTCTTGCTTGATGTCCAAGAAACTTTGGGGACTGAAAGGGGAATAGTTAGTAATTAATCCAAGACAATAGCTTTATTTTGTGTGTGTGCTGGTAATGAGTCTCACATTCAGGGCCTCACACTCTTACTCAGTTTTTTTGCTCAAGACTAGCATTCTACCATTTGAGCCACAGCACCACTTTTAGCTTTTTGGTAGTTCATTAGAGATAAGTATCTCATAGACTTTCCTGCCCTGGATGTTTTCAAACCACAATTCTGAGTAGCTAGGAATACAGGTGTGAGCCACTGGCAACTGGCTCAACAGTAGCTTTATTGTTTTTTTGGGGGGGGGGAGATCCGGTCATGGGGCCTGAACTCTGGGCCTGGGCGCTGTCCCTCAGCTCTTCAGCTCAAGGCTAGCGCTCTACAACTTGAGCCACAGCACCACTTCCGGCTTTGTTTTTTTTGTTTTTGTTTTGCTTATGTGGTGCTGAGGAATTGAACCCAGGGCCTCAGGCATGCAAGGCAAGCACTCTACCACTGAGCCAACTCCCCAGCCCCTCAACAGTAGCTTTAAATTGGGACTGTTCCAGGTAAACTAAAATATGTGGTTGCCTTTATCTGTTCCCTGTGTGTGATTCTATTAGCTGCATGGTTCTAACAAGAGTTATCTAATAGTTATAATTCTTTTTTCACAGTTTCCATGTTTATTAATTTTTTTCAGATTTACTTGGTACAGAGGGTAGTACAGCTTCATGCCAGCAATCTCCAGCCAGTAAAAAAGGAATGTTCACAGATGACTTACATAAACTGGTGGATGACTGGACAAAGGAAACAGTAGGAAATTTTCCTATGAAGCCAAGTTTAAACCAGCTTAAGCAGAGTCAACAAAAACTAGAAACAGAAAACTGGAACAAGGGATATGAAGTAAGTTGTTTATCCCCAAACCTCTTGATAAAAACTAAAGCCATAAAAGTTTATTTTTTTAGGCCAATGGTCATGAGAATGTGATGTAACTTGAAGCATCAAGATTTTGATGTTGGTTTAGATTTATGAAGCCCTTGAGGAAATTATCTTTTAGACCAAGTCAATGAACTTTCAGGTAGGTGCCAGTTAATAAATATTTTTAGACATTCTAAGCCACATGGTAAGAACTTATCTTGTTTGTAGTTTCAAAGCAACCTTAGACAATATAGAATTGAATAGGGTAGATTTGAGCCATTTAAAAATAATTTGTGGAAAGATATGGCAAGCCATATTTTCTGGCTCTTGTTTTTAACTATTGTATCTTAAAAACAAACAAATATGGAAAAAGAAAGCCTATGGAATGAGGATTAATGTGATCACCTGAGAAGAGTTTGAGTTTTGAGGAAAAGCTATCCTGTGCTACATATCAGTATTTTTTATGCTAGTCTTGGGGCTTAAACTCAGAGTTTTTGTGCTAAAGGGTAGTATTCTACCACTTGAGCCACAGCTCCATTTCCAGATTTTTGGAGGTTAATTGGAGTTAGCAGTCTTACAGATTTTCCTACCTGGGCTGGCTTTGAACTGTGATCATCAGATTTCAGCCTTCTTGAGTAGCTAGGATTACAGACATGAGCCACCAGCACCCAGCTCAGATCAGTATTCTTTGGGGTTTTTTTGTTTTTTGGGTCCGGTCGTGGGGCCTGAACTCTGGGCCTGGGTGCTGTCCCTCAGCTCTTCAGCTCAAGCCTAGCACTCTACCACTTGAGCCACAGCGCCACTTCCAGCTTTTTTCTTTTTGCTTATGTGGTGCTGAGGAATCGAACCCAGGGCCTCATGCATGCAAGGCAAGCGCTCTACCACTGAGCCACCTTCCCAGCCATACTTTCAACTTTCTAAGACAAATAATTTAGACTTCTCAACTTGTGTCTATGTCTCTATCTTCTGTTTGAATGTGTGTATAGTTTTTAAGTAAGGAAAGTGTGAAAATACATTTATGGGGCTGAGAGTATAGGTCAGTTTTAGAACACTAATCTGGTATAGTGCAAGAGTTCCATTCTTAGCACTGAAGAAAAAACAGTATGCTTTAAGCTGGTCTTGTTGGCATACAAAGGTAGTCCTAACACTTAGGAGGCTGAGGCAGTACCCTGAATTTGAGGTTTACATAATGGGGCATCACTGTAAGACTTTGTCTCAAACAATATGTTTATTAGCTAGGTGCCAGTGGCTTCCTTCTATAATCCTAGTTACTCAGGAGGCTGAGATCTGGAGATCACAGTTCAAAGCCAGCCCAGGCAGGAAAGTCCATGAGACTCTTACCTTCAAGTAACCACCAAAAAGCCAGAAGTGGAGCTGCAGCTTAAGTGGTAGAATACTAGCCTTGAGGAATAGCGCTCAGGAACAGTACCCAAGCCCTGAGTTTAAGCCCCACGCCTAGCACAAAAAAATATTTTTAAGGCAGGAGCTGATGGCTCACGCCTGTAATCCTAGTTACTCAGAAGGCTGAGATCTGAGGATCATGGTTCAAAGCCAGCCTGGGCAGGAAAGTCAGTGAGATTCTTATCTCCAATAAACCACGAGAAAACCAGAAGTGGTGCTGTAGCTCAGGTGGTAGAGTGCTCGCCTTGAGCTGAAGAGCTGAGGGACAGCGCCCAAGCCCAGAGTTCAAGCCCCACGACCAACAAAAAAAAAATTAATACTGAATAACAATATTTAAGTCATAGATTTCTCAAAATAGTAAATAATGTATCCTCTTGGGGGCTTTGAATTCTTTTCTTCCTGGCACCAATTAATACCTAAATAGTATCCCCATTGTAAGATTCTGGACATTTTGAGGCAAATTTCAAGACAGAAGTGTATTTTATTCTGCTATGGTGAGATCCTCTAACATACTATGCAGATAGAAGTTTTGTTGACTATTCAGATGGTGATTGGTTGCAGTATCAAAGGAGTATGTTTGGAGGAAGGGTGAGGAAAAAATAGTGTGTGAATAAAACCACCAAAGGTTTTTTTGACAGACTTGGGTTCCATTGTCAGGTAGTCATTTACTTTACCATGTGACTTACTATACTTTTCCTTCGTTTTCGTGTCTTTTAAGCAATCATAATGCCTGCCTAGCAGAATTACTGAAGATTAAATGAGTTAATACTTACAAAGCTGTACCATTACAGGTGTCACATTGTAAGTGCCTATATATGGCAACTATTTTTGTAATGTGACATTTATTCAATGATATCTTAGTATAGAGAGCTAACTTTACCAATGTCCTCGCATGTTACTATTGAAATGTATATGCTGCAAGGCAGAACAGTTAGGAGTATGAACTAACATATGTAATTATCTTGAACACACAGATTGGTGCTCCCCATGTGATAGCCACGTAGGAGTAGTAAACCAAAAAGTGAGCCAGAGGCCAGTGACTCACACCTGTAATTCTCGCTACTCAAGAGGCTTAGATCTGAGGATCACACTTCAAAGGAAGCCCTGGCAGGAACATCTATGATACTCTTAACTCCAATTAACCACCAAAAGTGGTGGAAGTGGAAGTTGTGATTCAAATGGTAGAGTACTAGCCTTAAGCATAAAAGTTCAGGGACAGCATCCAGGCCCTGAGTTCAAGGTCCAGGACCAACATGCATGTGTGTGTGTGTGTGTGTGTGTGTGTGTGTGTGTGTGTGTGTAAAAGCATCTGACATATAGAAATGGATTTAGATTGCTAAATGCATATACAAAATAAACTGATCTTTTGTTTCTATGTTTCTTTTGTTAGAATACTCCATCTACTATGGGCTACACATCAACATGGATTTCTTCTCTTTCCCAAATACGTGGAACAGTCCCAACTTCTTTGCCACAAGGACTTCCACTCCCCTCCTTTCCTGGGCAATTATCATCTTACGGAGTGTCCCATGTTTGTCAGTATAATACTGTAGGAGGCACAGGGTATCCCTTACAGTGGGTTGGAATCCCAGGAACAACACAGCAGTCTGTAGTGATTCCTTCCCAATCTGCAGGACCATTCCAGCCAGGGATGAATTTGCAGGCATTTCCAGCTCCACCAGCACAGAATCCATCTACGATCCCTTCTACAATCCCTCCTGGTCCTAAATGAACCAGAATAGAGATGATGAAGAAAAGGGAGATTTTATTTTCCAGAATTATTTTCAGGATACCTAAGATATTAAAAGTTTTCTTCTTCTTGGGTTTTGCCATATTTTCCTTCATTTCAGTTTACTTTCAAATGTAAGTGTTTTATTGTTCCAGTGTGATATTTGATAAGGCTTATCATTCTGTAGAAATGTGCGGTTTGCACATAGAACACTGCACAGAAAAATGTTTTTTCACTTCAAATCCTATCCTCTTTGATACTTGATTTTTTTAAAATACTCTTCAGAATGCTTTAATAAGCTCAGCTTGAGTATTACCATTTCCAGGATACTTTCCATTGCATTGCTGAGAAGCCTTCTTTTTTTAAAAAAAAAAAAATTGTTTTTGCTATAGCTGTTATCTGCAGCTGTATGATACTTTTCTTTCAAATGTACAAAGATGATTTCAATTTACTCTCCCCAAATGTGGACAAAGTGAGATCCTCCAATAGCTGGAGTCTTGTGGGATTCTTCACATTTATCTTACAAGTTTACCTTTCACAGGAGGCAGGGTAACACTGCAGGAAATGTTTTGTCAACCAATACAGAACATGAGCCCTTTTTAATGTGATTTTTCTTCCCGTCGTCACAGCAGTAGGAGTGAAGCCTTGTTTTGAGTGAGGCGGAGGGAAAGGAAAAATGAGAACTGTAACAGTTCCTTGATTCTACAGATACTATAGCTGCTTTTGGATTTCAGTAATAATTCAAAGCAGCTCTCTGCTTCTTGTGTGCACACTACATTGCTTTTGAGCACTCAAGAGGCATCAGTTTGGCTTGCATTCTTTTGCAAAGGATATTTTGCAGCCAATAAGAATCTCATTTGGGGGAAAATCTTTATATTCCTAACAAAGGGGATTGAAGTTAACACCTTTATTGATCTATTATTCTGAAGGGAAATGAACTTAACACAGTAGGTTTTTTTTGTAGGTTTTGAGACTTACACATGAAACACTGGCTTTACAGGGTCCTAAGAGATGTGGGGTATACACTGTCCTGCAGAGAAAGAGAGAGTAGACCCTAGAAGGATACTATTTAAGTTGCCCTTAGCATTTTGGATTACCATTTTATGGTTGTTATAATTTCTTATTAGTAATCTAGAGCATCGTAGCTGATTTTTAGATCTTAGATAAGTTTGGCAGCCTCTTTAGACTATGAGAGAGATCACTGTCAAGTTGCACTTTACTGGGTTTTATCCAGTTTTAGGAGGAAGGGAGGCAATGTCACCTTTGGTTTTTAAGAAAGTTAACTATAATAAAATTAAATATAATAAAGACTGGTCACAGGGTTTCTTAGTGCTCAGTCTGTGAAACCCAAGTAGAATTTTTTTAAGGGGATCTAACTACTAAGTCTACATGTTCAAACTACTTAGCTTCCACTGAAGATTTCAAAGTCATTTCTGGTCCACATTTACCCAATTAGGAGTTTTGTCTATTGGTGAGCATTCCAAATTGTCACTCACCATTTCTGTTAATGAAATGGATTTTTCTTCCATATTCCCCTAAAAAAATTGTACCTCCTTGGTCTTGCCAGGTAATAAGGAAAACTTAATATGTATACTCCTTCTTTTTGGGTTTTTATGCAACATACTTTATAGCATTCAGTTTACTCTTTTTAAAGTATGTCTTTTATTGCTTACCTAAAGATCACACCCACCGTTGCAGTTCTCTCACGGTTGGGAGCATCAAGGGTAGCATTTTGAGCATCGTTGTTGCTAAGAGCCACAGTTGTTTTGGGGTTTTTTTGTTGTTGTTCTTTTTTTTTTAAATAAACTATCATCAGTTTCAGAGGAGTCTTTCCAAACCTTATGTAGAGATTCCTCCCATTTCTCTGGTATTGCTTTATTTGCAAGTTGAAGTGATTTTAGGACATTCATGCAAATTCTTGCACTGCAGTGTTTCCTGTGTGTCCAAAAACAATCCTCCTGAAATCCATAACTTTCAAAGAAAAAAATCTGTTCATATTTTCGTAGCTGAGTTGATTTTGCATAATTAAATTGAGATATATAACATAAAATGAACTTCTTCCTTAATGGCCGTCTTTTTAAATACCCCAGGGTATAAAACAAAAAGCTCCATGGGTAATATGTACAATTCCACTTAGTAATGGCTGCTCTGTATCCTATGGCCTGCATTTTATCACCCACCTCAGTTTTACATAGAATTCATCATTCTTATTTGCCTGCAGACTTTTTGCAGTGCCTTGTAATATTTAGAATCTTTTCAGATTTTTGCTGGAAAGAAAAGTAGTCTTCTAAAGTTTGAAGATGGTGAATAGTGTACTGCTGTCTCCATGCTGACAGCAGTAGCTGGGTTAGCATATATGTTATATATACTTTGTGTATATGTAACATGTGTAAGTTTAAGAATACAGAAAAAAGTGAGTTTTTGCAGAGATGAAGAAAAATAATGTTATTCACATTGCTGTGGGGTTTATTTCCTTTTCCCCATTACTGAAATGTTTGATTTCAATTATAGTCATTTTGACTGTAAATATTGGCTAGTTTTCTATGTAGGATTTTGCATTCTTTCATATTTTTTTCTGAGTCATAAATTGTGCTGGTTTCATCCTTGCCTGAGGTACTTCTCCTCCCCAGAAACAACTAATGCTTGAATAACTACAGCTCAGAAATTCCCTTCTTACTTAACAACGAGCCTACTATATAAAATAGGCCTTCTTGTTCATTTGAAAAAAAAACACACACACAAACCCATCCTCTTCATTTTCTTGTAGAAGAGAAAAAGGTCGTGCGTAACCATTGTGCTTGTAATGTTTATTTGGGGAATAGTTTGTATGTCCAGCCACCATGTTTACTTCTTAAAGTACAAGTCTGATGAAGAGTACTGTATCTCCATCTGTGGCAACGTGAGCATCTCATCATGAAGTATCTGCTGCTATGTCTGTGAAGTTGGGTGTAACATCATAAGAATATGAAACAAGTATTGATGTAAATCTAATGAAAATAACCCTCTATGTGTATTTGTAGCAGTCTTGAAAATTCTATTTAAGGTAATTTGCTGTAATATAACAAATACTCATTTTGTTTTTCATCCCTCCCTTGCTTCTATCAAGCATGATTACTAATGGTTTGACAGCAAAATTATCTGTGAAAGTTTAAAAGGCACTTTTCCGCTGGGATTTTTGGATTGAGTGGAGTGTGATCTATAGTATGGTGGGATGTTATCATCTTAGAACCCCAGGTTTACTTCCAGTCTAGTTACTTTTGTTTATCTACCTCGTTTTCAGTGCTGTTTTTGATGCACAAGTAAACACTACCTGTGAAACTTACTTTTGTTCCCCTTGATTCTCAGTATTTTTTTTAGATTATAAATCTGGCTTGCCTTTTTGTTCTAGTACTCATCATGCGTTTGCGATGAGAGGTATCATCACTCTGTGGGCAATTTGTGTGTAAGTGATGAGAGCCATGTGCCTATGCGAAATAAGCTTAAGAGGATTTGGGGATGGAGAGCAGAGAAATAAATCTGACTGGTGGCAGTATAGAACTTTATTATAAGTGTTAGTTATAAAATAAGCAAACTGTCACAAATGTACTTAAATTAGTTCCAGTGCCTGTAACATTGCATTTATTTTTACAAGAGATGCATTTCTCATCTCTGTGCCTAAAGGGCTATGGGTTGAAATTACTTTTAACTATCACAATGGAATATTTGACCAGTCCTCCAGCAGTGACCTGTCCTTTAAAGTATTAGCATACTGCTATGTATTTGCAGTGATATTTTGTTATCTTAAAATGGCCCACTGCATTTTAAGTTGAATTGCTTGTAGTTTGTGATAAGGGGTTTATATAACTGTTATCCTGTCTGTACAGTTTCTGGAGGCATTGGCTTGCTTCTGTGCTGTATTTTCTGAGAGATAAAAATGATGCATTCCTCTTTCAACCCAAATCTTAGCAAATGTTTGTAACCAGACATTCCTGGTTTCACATGTTTACTGTGTAACACTACAGCATAGTTTATATTGGTAAGTACTGTATTTCAGTCACCCTGCATAAATACATTCCTGAGGTATATTTGCCATCACTTTGGGATTCAGTTACTTCATCTTCTGTTTGGTTCAGATAAACTGAAGCCATTTGAGGTGATTTGAGGTGCAGACCATTTTCTAGAATCAATTGTTTTTTGAATCTTTATCAAGGATTTGTTTTCTCCCCTTTGTTTAGAAGATGAACTAGAAAATGGTGTGTGTATGTATGTTTGTGTGTGTGTGTGCGTGTGTGTGTGTGTGTGTGTGTGTGTGTGTAGAAAAGGCCTTAGATTTAGTAAATGGAATTTTTAGGATTAAAATTTAAAAAAAAAGCCTAATCCAGATTATGAAACGGAAACAATCAAATGGGAAAATATAATCGAAATACAATTAGTATGACATTTGAATGGAGCCAAATACTTTCAGGTCATCCCAGAAATAGTCTTTTTGTGAAGGATGAATATAAATATTGGTTGGGGATTTGACCCCAACATGTGAAGGAAAGTGAAGTAGTAACTACGTTACCCTAAAGTTATTTTCAACTGGGACAGTGGAATTGTGTACCAATTAATTCTGGAAGATTTTCTTTTCTTTAAAAAAAGGCTAAAAGTCAAGCAAGAAGGGAAGAGAGAAATTCAGCTCTGAGAAAAAATGTGCAGTGTCAACTAAACTCTTAAATGTGTTTGTCATCCTTTAGTTTTATTTGAAGTTGCATTTTGATTTGCACTGTAATTTAAGGTTTGAGATTGAGATTTGTGGTCCTCAGCAGATAAAGTGACTAATCGGAAAGTGCAGTTGTTCAAGGTCTGTCATGCTCAATCACTTAAAGCTGTAATTTGTTTGATATGAATATTAAGCATGTAGACCTCGTGCAGCATGGGAGCCACTCAGGAAGTTTATGCAATTAATAAACTTTCATGCATAATTTACTATGAAGTATGCAGAATTTCAGCCACTTCTCTACACTTAACATTTAGTTGTATAT